GATACATTATAACGCCCCTCAGCTGAAAGGGCGAAGATGTTTGGTGGGACGGGGATTCGAACCTGCGACCCGCAGATTGCGAGTCGAGCTCCCTAACCACCTGGCCATGCCGGGCCACTTACAATACTATACTAACAATCACTACGGGCAAACTGATACTGCCTTCCAGTGGCTCACAGGTAATTCTGCGGATTTATAACTCCGATAATCGGGTTTCGATACCCGTGGTGGGCACAATACGGATAGCCCATAGTGTTGCTTTGCGCTTAACAACAAACAAACATATACATATGGTAAGTGGCGCCCCCGTGTGTATGCATACTTAATTCCCCCCAACTAATATGTTACGGTTTGGGAGTTATATGCACGAAGTAGCTTTATAATGGCTTTGTAATAATGTCACAGTTCAAGCGTACACAAGTACAAGTATAAATTTTTTTCATCAACGACTATTTATAAATCAGTTTTAGGTCATATTTTTAGTTAATCTTTGCTTGAATTTTTCAGGAAACTATCTCACCTGAATTGAATCTTCGAACCGGCAAGAATTCCACATTGAACTGAAACCCCTTTCTGTACGGAGACATGGCGTGATACTCTAGAACCAGGTCTCTGGCAGAAGAAGTAAATACCTCTCCTTTCTTTATTTCTTCGCCACAGTATCTAAAATTGAAGCACAGGAATTTCGACAGGGGTCGCTATATAAGTATATATTTTCCTTTCTTAAATCTCGAAGCTACTAATTATATATTTAACTTCTCACTTTCAGATCAATTAATTTTTGAGGTGATACAAAGTTGATGTTTGGTACATTTAAAATAGAATCGTTCTACAATAAGAAATTGGAAACACAGAATAGAAAGAAATTGTGTCTCTTTTTTAAGCACAAAACTGCACAATGTGCTATCGGTGCTGTTTCAACCGTGGGTATCGAAACTTAATTTTTAGCGTTGTAAACTTTCAGACTTACTGCTGGGACACTAGGGGACCAGAAATAGTGAGAAAAGCAAGTACATGGAACTAGTGACGTACGTTTCCGTCTCAACAGTCCAAGTTTTAGCTCTTTAGATGACTCACCACTAAAGTTTTATCTTATAATAAAAACACTGGCTAAAATTCTTGTTTAGTTTTTAGATTTAATCAAAATTTTCTAAACCTTGAAAAATATATTAGTAGAAAAATATGAAACATTGTTACGTTACTATAGATACACCCCCCCCCCCCCCTCAGCGATAAGTCTGAAGGTTCATAGTGCTTGACTTCGATACCTCTGGTTGGTACAGCACAGATAACCCATTGTTTAGCTTTGTGCTTAACAACAAAAACTATAGATATCTTAACATGTTTATAGCAATACTTTATCTCCTTGAGATAATCTACATCTGCTACACGTGTGACACTTTGTTACACGTGTGGCACTTTGTTACATGTATTGCACTTTGTTACACGTGTGGCACTTTGTTACATGTGTGGTAC